GGGTTGGTTGGTCGGTTGGTTGGTCGGTTGGTTCGTTGGTCGTGGCGGTTGGGCCGCTTTTCCGTTCGGTTTCCTAATGAGCGCGCGCGCGCGCCGCGCCGGTTACGCTCGACGTATGTGCACATCGTGTATATCTCGCATCTCGTCGAGGAAGCAATTGCAGTAAAAGCGATCGATCGAGATGAGACCGAGAGCTGATGAGGAAGTCGCGACGCGAAGCCGCGCCTCCTTGCCCGATCCTCCCTTTTTCTCACATTCTCTCTCTTTCTCTCTTTTTCTCTCTCCTATCTTGCGTGATCATCTATCCGGTGTGAGTCAATAACCTTTAATTCTCGCAGGCAATGAACTACGAATACTAAACATAATGTTCATCACACGATTTGCGTGTCTTCAAATATGAGTCTATTCATTCAGCTCCCAAAAAGTCCTTCTTTATCAATGAGTTTTTTAATTCTCCCCCCCCCCTACCGCTATTCATGTTTGCTTTACTTTAATTAAAATCTCAGGTGAGGAATTTAATTTAAAGATTCATATACTTTATCTTGGGTAAGAGATACCTTAGAATTTTTTTTTTTACAAATAAATATGTTTTTAATTAAATACGTTTAAAGAAATTTTTGATATAATTTTTCAACTTTTGTACTCACTTTGAGACTATTTATAAATTAAAAATCATTAAAAAATATTAAAAATGTTAATAGAAATATACTAATGCAATATAATAAAATGAACATATATTATTTTAATAAAGATCATAATAGTCATAATTTTTTAAAATATTATTTCTGCGAAAAAATATAATATTTATTTGCGCATAACAGATGGAGGAAAAAGAATAAGAAAATATGAAGAAATTCTTGTTAAATTTGAATCGAAAAGTATGTGTATAAGAGCATAGAAGCGCGCATGTATAAAGTGGAATTGTGCTCTACATTTATGTAACTCAATCTCAACGATTGCAAAACATGACAGCAAGCTGTTTCTACGGCATTCACTTCTTAAAAGAAGTAACGTCGTGTTAATCGCTATCGAAATTGCAAAGAGAACGTAATATAATTTGCCTATCGGTTTTGCCAATTAACATTACAATAAATCCACCGAGCGCGTTTGCGACAGAAGAAAAAAATGGGAAAGAATGCATAATTTATGAATGTCCCTTTGCGACGGAATCGCAATCCGAATAATTACGTGCGTAACGTAATTATGTGCGCTACTGCAAATATAGATCAGCGATTAATTTATTGTAAGAGTTATTTGTCGGCGCACATTATCATTGGCGTTTCTCTTATGCGCATATCTAATCACCATTGATTTTTGTAAGAAACGCGCGGATAGAGCGAAGGGATCCACATTCACCGTGGTCGACCGTGAAACGACAGGCGCAGAAATTGCCATACAATATATCGGCCTCAAATCGCTATTCGATATATTGTATCGTCAAATATCCAAATATATATATATATTTGCCATCGGATGGCACTTTAAAACGGAGCAACGTCGCATTGTTAAAAT